AATGGCAACTTACGACAGTGTCGTGAGAACTTCCACTCTTCTCCAGTTCATGGACACGAACTCGCATACGAGCTGCCTCATCATGTGCAGCTTCAGCTCGCTCACGAGCATCATTAAGCTGTGATAAATATATATAAAGGTAATAAAAAGAAGAAAAGCTTAACTCAATAGAAGGCAACTTACCTTGTTCTTGTAAGCCTCCTCGAAAGCTCCTTTGTTAGCAGCCAATTGAGACTGGAAGCGAGCACGCATTTCAGCGAGCTGGTCTTGTAGCTTTGATTGATATTCATCATTAATCTGCTTGGCATAGGTTGTCATATCCACTTGACGCTTGTGGCGGACTTCTTCCAAAGCCTGAAATAATATTTTAGAAGGAAAAGAGTTAGAGACACTAGAAACTCAATTTAGATCACCTACCGACTTATGCTGTTTCTTTTGAAACTCCAAATCCTCACTCAACGCCTGGATCTTGGCGTTAGCAGCCGCACGAAGGACGCTTTCATCCTCAAGGTTCTTCTGTAGTGCAGCAAGTTGCATGCGGAGACGAGCTACTTCCTTTTCAAGGTTGGCAACATCGCCTTCAGCTTTGTCAAGTCTGTTCTGCATATTCTTCTGCTTGGCAGTACTGGATTCAGCCAAAGAAAGGGCTGAGAGACGATCTTCCTCAGACTAAAAAAATTACAGAATAACTTACAAAACTAATGTGGAAATTTTAAAAAATTCCCACTTTTTTCAAATCCCTTTCCAGCTTGGCAACTTTTGATGCAAGACGTTCGTGTTCTCCAATAGCCGAATCACGTTCAACTGCATATTTGGCCGCTTGTTCACGAGCATCCTCCAGCGCGGAGCGAAGACGAGCCTAAACAAGATAATCCTAGCTATAATAACTGAGTCTCCTAATATATAAAAAATAGAAACAGAAAATCCGATAGAGCTTACCCTCTCTGCTTCAAAACGTTCGGCAAGATTATTCCTTTCTTTCTTCTCAACTACTTCAATATCCTTGATTTGGACGGTGAGACGATTGTTCTCAGCTTCCAGTTGTCGCACTTTCTGAAAAAAAAAATATGAAATAAGTAAGCGTTGTGGCAAGCTAGCTCGCATGTTTGACCATCGATATTGCACAGACATTATTTCTGTTCATTTTATTTTTCCAAACAGCTTTACACGAATTCAAACTAGGCGCTTTACTTTGAGATTTACACAATAGGGGGACTCGCGCAAAAAGATGTTTAGGGAAATCCCCCATCGATGATCACACCCACTATAATAGTATCAAAATCCGGAGAACATCGCAAGTGTAACATGCACACTTTTTACTTTCCCACTTCTACTTAAACCTTGGTGCACAAAACTAACTAGCGTAAAGGATTAAGGCGCATATGGATGCGTTCAGTAAATGCGTAAAACAAAATAACGATATAACCTGATCCACAGGATACTTGCCTCAAGCAATTTCGCTTTCAAATCTAGACCTACACAGGTCTTTTATGGCTTCTTCTAATCTCTATTTAACGAATTCATGTGTCCTACGCA